AGTCTTGAAATTAATTCTAGACTGAATAAATTCTAAATTTAACTTTTCTGCATTATATCCCGGGAGTGACATTATTTCTGACGGTGTCAACTCTTTAGCTCACATTGTACCCTTCTACTATAGGTATCTATCTTGTGACTTTAACCTAGCTGTCTGGCAATTAAGGATTTTCTCTTTTTTAAAAATGTCAGTGCGTTTTTTTTTACGCTGCTAACATCATGCTGTGTTTGGAGATTCTTGAAATTAAGATTCTCAAACTATACTTGTACTGAAAATTATTCCGCCTTAAAGTACGGCAAGAATTTATCGATCGAATTTACTTGATCGAAAACATGAACTTAACATGAAATCTGCTACAGAATTTAGGAATACATATATTGATTCCATAAATCCTTCAGTCACATAATATTTTCTAGGAAAATCCTTGGCTTAAATAAATAAATTGTATTATTTAAAGTCTGGAATTTTCTCAGTCATTACAATAACACTAGTCATGATGAAGGATTTGATCTCAAAATTTCAAAGATTCTTGGATTAATGGCATCACTTGATATGTAATGCAGAAAATATGGAATTAAGGTCGTTGTAGATCTCCATGCGCTTAAAGCTTCTCAGAATGGCAATGAACACAGTGGGTCACGGGATGGATATAAGGAATGGGGAAATTCCAACATTCAAGAAACTGTGGATGTCATAGACTTTTTAGCAAAAAGGTGATCTCATACATATCTCTGTGTTTCTCCATGTTCCTCATTTGATAAGCTTGTTCTTTATGTCCTTCAGTTGATACGATTGTCCATCTATATAGACTAAGGCTTCAGAAAAATGAAGAAATTGCCGAAACAGACTAATACAAATCAAACCGGACTCAAATTTAATGTCTAACTTTGATATCTAACTAATTATATCATGTCATGTCATTAAAAAAAAAAATTAGATTGTTTTTCAACTTACTCTTTTATGTTTATCATAAGATGTGGTAAGATTTTATTAGTTAGACACTAATTAGGATACCAAAAATTAGACAGTAGATTTAAATCCAATCAAACCAAACAAAACCAAACAAAAAATTAAGGATTTGACTATTACGTTGGTTAGCGGCTTTAAAATATTTTAAACCGCAGAAATCGACCAACTCGACCAAAACTCTGTCACTATCTTTTAAAAAAAAAAAATATTTCTCATTCTTGTCATATTTCTCTCTATTGTTTTGAAATGCAGATACGCGAACCATCAAAGCCTAATAGCAATTGAGCTAATGAATGAACCTTGGGCAGAAGATGATACGGGAGGTATCCCTCTAGACACCCTTACAGAATATTACCGAGCGGGTCATAATGCTGTGAGAAAGTACACAAGTAATGCTTATGTGATCCTGTCAAACCGGCTAGGTGGTGGCGCCAATCGGAAGGAGCTCCTCCCCTTCGCGAGCGGCCTCGGCGACGACCGCGTAGTCATTGACGTGCATTTCTATAACGCCTTTGAACCTAAGTTTGACAACATGAGTATTGGAGACAACATAAACTACATCTATGGGCAACGAGCTTCTGAACTCAAGGAGGTCACAACATCTAACCGTCTCCCCCTCATTTTCGTCGGTAAGTGAATTTTTTGGCCAGCTGAATTGGTAAGGCTACAAAGACCACATTATAAATATGCTACCTTAAACACTGTTCCTCTGAAATACCGTTTACTTCTCTTATTAATGCAAATGCCTAAAGTGGTTAATCAAAAAAAAAAAAAAAAGTATTCCTTCTAGACTTAGTATTATTGGTTTCTTTTCTTTCTTTCTTTTTTTTTTTTGAGTTTTTTAGGTTTAAATTTTATTTTATTTAATTTTGTTGATATTTTAAATAGTTTTATTATGGATGAATAAGTACAGTCTTGGTAGTAACTGGTACTGGTTTCACAAACCAATTACATTAATTAGGCTCGTTTAGTTTACTCATTTGAGTTTTTAATTCGAGTTAAAATGTGATTTTATGTGAGAGTTTTTTACTATAGTAAAAAAATTAGACGTGACTGTTTCTGAGACCTTTAACTATAGCAAAATTAGAATTCTAAATTCAAATTAATAAAATAAACGGGACATATGTGGCATACTTTTACTCTGAGTTTAAAGACACGAGTGACTTTATGTTTCCAATTTGGTGTCTTTTATGTTTTTTTTTTTAAAAAAAATGTGTGACTTTATGTACAGTTAATTTCTTCTTCATTTGTCAAAAATAACATCCTTTTTTTTTTTTTTTTTTGTAAAAGTTCAAAAACATTATAATCAAACTTTTACATCCTTTATAGGAATTCCCTTCCTAGTATGTATTAGCATCTATATATTAATATGGAAACTCATAAAATGATCCTTACAGAAGAATGGAGTGCATCTTGGGGAAATCAGAATGTGGGGACAGGTAAAGACCACGAAAATTTTGCAAACGCCCAAATTGAAGTTTATGAACGTGGTGCCAATTTCGGATGGGCATTTTGGTCTTACAAGGTTAAAGATAATGAGTACTGGAGCCTCCAGCAAATGATCGAGAATTACCATCTAAATCTCTAAAGTACTATTCCTATTACTGCTTAATTAGGCAATAATAACCCATATTTTCCTCCAATGCAATGCATCGCAGAATTCTTGTTAAATAACCCTATTTTCGTCCAATGTAATGCATCGCAGAATTTTTGTAAGTTTTATCTTGCATTAAGTTTTGGCTTTTGATTATTGTGTTATCACTTTTGCTTTTCTAATAACAGAAATCTTTAGCTGTTTGTTAATACACAACTAATAGTTTAATACAAAAAAAAAAAATTTATTTCACTAGGACACTTAGGGGATGAAATTTTAAAAGATGAAATAAACAAGAATGTATGCCGGAGAAAAATATAAGATTAAATAAGGGTGAGAGAAAAAACAAAAATAAGGGACTAAAGAAGGAAAAAAATGAAATAAAAAAGGGAAAGAGGACAACAAAATAAAAGGAAGAAAAGCAAAAAAGGAGGAAAAAAAAAGAATGTATAATGGTAAAAAAATGATAAGATTAAATAAGGGTGAGAGCAAAAAACAAAAATAAGGAACTAAAAAAGGGAATGAGGACTAAACAAAAAAGGAAGAAAAGCAAAAAGAAAAAAGATTCGTGAAAAAAAAGTAGGTATAGTGGTGAAAAAAAAAAGATAAGATTAGATAAAGGGTGAGAGGGAAAAAAAATAAGAGACTAATGAAGTAAATTAAAAAGAAAGGAGTAGAAAAAAAGAAGAAAAGTAAATAAAAAAAAACATAAGGACTAAAATAATAATATGATTAAATACGGATGGGAGGAAAAAAATTAAAGACTAAAGAAGGAAATAAAAAAAAAAGAGACTTAAAAACAAATAAAAAAGAAAAAAACCGAAATGAAAAAAAAAGGGGAAACAAAAAAGGAATAAAATGTTTTGTCCGCTCCGGATGAAACGTGTTAGGTGCATATTATGCTTTTTAGATGTGTTAAGACTCCGTTCATTTCATTGATTCGAGTTGAGAATTTAAGTTTTGCTACAGTAAAAAAATTTCAGATTCAATCACATTTAACTCTTTTATTACAGTAAAAAGCTCTCACATAAAGTCACATCTCAACTTAAATTAAAAAACTTAAATCAGTAAATTAAACGGGTCCTTAATGATTAATGATACACACAGTTGGTGATTGTCGTTTCTGTAGTGCGCCTTTTGAGCCCTCGATCGTACTGTGCACATTGGAATGGTTCAATTTTGGAGCTAACTTCCTCTAATATGTAGCTTTGTAATTGAATGATATGATTATTACCATAGATTATCATCATTCAGTTGATTCTTTGTTTCAGATTTATAGGAACTTTTTCGGTTTTTGAATGATCAAGGAATGTAAACGAAATATTAGTCGTGATTTCCTGGGCAAAACTCTAGTTTTGTACTCTTTTGGGGGCAGAACAATAGATCTTGTTTGTTAATTTGGAAGGAGAAAAAAAAAAGTGGAATATGGATTAGGGTCGGAGGACGCATACGAATTTAAGACTTATGGATTGTTTGGTAGAATGATTCAAAATTTGAATCAAATTCATACCATTTAAATAAAGAGAAAAACTGTTTCTATCATTTTTATTTTCTTCTCCTAGATTACGTCCTTTCTTTTTAGTTTTGCATGTATATTCTTTTTCTAGATTGAAATTGAAATTTTTGTCATAATAATTTTTTTGTCAACTGAAAAAAAAAAAAGAAAATTACCCGGCAAATAACAGCAATTAAAATGAAATAAAAGGGTTTCTCCGTAGGTTCCTTTACTACCAGTAGGTCGAGAATTTAGTTAAAATAATCAAGTGAAAAAGTAAAATTAGGAAAATGACTTTTTAATTTTTATTTTATTTATTTTCAGAGAAAGTGAAAGTTCACCGCCGGAAGTGAAAGTTCACCGCCGGAATCAATGGCGCCTCCACTCCTGCAAAATCTCTGGTCGCTATATATATCGATATATACATAAATAGGGAGAGAGAAGAGGGATCAAAGCGCAAACCATTTAGAGGCAAAGTCTCGGCTCAAGAGTCCATCCAACATCTCCGATCGCTTCTTTTTCCCAAACTCACCAACTGTAAAACTCAAACGACTCAAAATCCAACTGCAGCCATTAATGAAGCTCCTAATGCCAGAGACGCAGAAGAGCTTCAAAAACGAAGAAGAAGAAGGAAGAAGAGAATTTGATTAAAATAAATAAAAAATATAAACCTCATTCATAAGAGGAAAAAAAGATATAAAGTCATTTTACAAATTTATTTTTAAAAAGTTATTTTACTAATAAAATTTTTTTATTGAGTTATTTTTATAGGTCCAGTAAAATATTTCTCGAATTGGCACTTACTGGCCCATATTCCGCAGTTATATCTTTTAAATATGCCCATGAGCACAGAATATTTGTAATTCTTTTATCGAATGGAACCCACAGAAAAACACACGGCATCAATACCTCTTTTTTTCATACGTGTCCACTCAGTTGAATGACTCCACAATCTCGTCAATAGCTTGTCCTACTGCTCATGGGCCCAACAAAAAAGTTGCACCTTTCTCGCACCTTCTTTCTCTTTTCTTTGTTTCTTCTCATGCCCTCCCAACTTTCTTGCCGAACCAAAAACCCAGGAGAAAGAAAAAAAAATTCCCCAAAGTTGCCAAATTGGAGAAAGATTTCATTTTCTTCCCTTTAAGCTTTTTTCGTTTTAAATCCAAAGTTGTGATGGGGTAAATTTTATTGATCACGCCTTTGTTCTTGAGGCAACAATGATAAAGTACACTCTTTTTTTTTCCTCTAGTTAATTTTTGATAATATTGTTAATATTTTCTAGCTAGTTGTTTGTTGTTTTTTCTGAGCTCCACTTCTTGTGCAGATAAAGATTAACAAAACAAAACAAATACCAAATGATTTGTATCAATTCAATGACATATCCAAACACAAACTCAAACTAAAAATTCATTAAGTAAGGCAAATATATATATATATATATATATATATTCCTCTTTATCATCACCTTCTGCCTATATTTTCTCTCTGCCACGAAGTCAAACATTGTTGCTGGAAGCAAACTCAAAGTACAATCAAGGTTGAAGAGCAGAAAATGAGAGAAGTAGAAAAGCATGAGAAAGAGAAACATATAGAGTTAGAAGGAGAGAGAATATGAGAGAATGAGAAAGAGAGAAAAAAGTCGGTGACTGCAAAAGTAATTTCATTTTCTAATTTGATAGGCCCTACAAGCTGACACTTCAATGTCAAGTAAGATTAGTATTACTTCACATACGCTTCAATTGACATTATGTGTGTCTCCTTCAATTCCAATCAATGGATTTTAATTGAACGGATACAGATTTTGTGTACCGGTAGTCCCAAAACAGTAGTGCACAGGAGAAACTCCCATGAAATAATCTAAAGAAGATGTAAATGTTTATATTGACATTCAGCGAAAAAAAAAAAATGGTGATATTGACGATATGTATTAGAAATACATGACCAGAGTTGAACGACCTGGTTTCTTTTTTTCTGTCTGAAGCGCGTTTACTGTTAACTTAAAAAAAAATTGGAATTGAAGAAAATAATGTGTATTAATTGCTCCAAAGATATCTAGCTGCATATTATTTGAAAGTATAGCAAATTTTTTTTTTTTTTTAGCTATTGATGCAATTTAATGCAATATCAATTTTGCTTTTCATTCAGTAGAATTAAAAAAAAATGAACTATTTTATATCAAAAAGTGTCAATTCTAAATTTTTTTTTTAAATTGATGTAATTTTAATTATATCTAACGAACAAAAAGTGTCTTATCAATAAAAAGACATTATCAGAAAGTGTCTTATCAAGGAATAAGAAGCGTTATTGTTAAAGTTTGTTAGTTCCTTTCTTAGCAAAGGGAGTAAAAATAATGCTTAGCTAGATAGATTCCTTTGAAAAGATATGAAACAATAACAATTCCATTCACATACTATGCAATTGACCTAAATGCACTTGTTACTTATCACAAATTGTAATTTTGTAAGTCTTACATTGTGAATATTACATGACAATTAATTAATAGAATAAAATTTACCTTACCAAAACATACACGTGTCAAATAATTCAATAATGAACTGCTAAAAAATTGATGCTATATAAAGAGTTAATTACGTCAATCAAGATCAAAATTTTCTCAAGTTAACTTAACGATGAATTCATCTTTCACCAGAAAAAGGTATTGAGAAAGTGACAGCACCATTGAGAGTTTCTTTCTCAAGGAAACGTAGTAATCATGAATTCATTCAAAATTCAACAAGCACATCCATTCGATGTTTCTTCTTTCCCTTTCTTCTCTAATTAACAAACGTGAAAGTTGAAAGTTCACAAACTTCTCTTACATAGAAAAATGTTTAACCCTAAAGGTAGTTAAGAGAGAGTTAGTACTTCACCTAAGCATGATTAACCTAAGCATACTCATGCATGATTAACCTGAGCAATACTTAACTATCAACCAAATATTACAAATGACTAAAAAGATTATTACCTAACTATACCTACTTTATCTCAATTTTTTATTTACAGCAGTAATAATTTGTTCTGTTCTACTGTATCTGATGTATCATATGGTGCATTTATGAATTTTTTTTTTAACTCTGCAAACTAGATATCGTAAATAGTAAACACAAACAAATCAACAGAAGAAAAATATTTCAACTAAAAGAGTAGGACTTAAACCAAAAGGTCATGATTAGTTACTAGAAAGTAATTAGTTAGACTTCCATTAAAAAAATTGGGTACTTCTATGGTAAGAGTTCATAATGATAGTACAAGTTTGTGACCATTAGATTTAGTTGAAATCACATTAAAATGATAAAATATACAAAACGGATAATTTCTTATATATATATATATATATAATTTGAAGAGAATTTTTCTGATAGGATCAGAAAAAATTGATTACCGGTAATTTTCTACTAACCACAAAGGAGATTTTACGAAATTATCGACAACAAAGCTTCATCTATACTCTCTTGACTATATGAGTTTGGAACAATATTTCAGCAGTGACAAGTCAATGTAAGTTGTGTCATGTAATGTGAATGAATGAATGACATTCCTTACGTGTAGCTTTTGTATCTTCTCTTTCTTTATATACGTATTAAAAAAGTTTCTTCTCAACTTGAAAGATTAAGAGAGTGAAAAATGGCAAACTTTGTATTCTTGAACCTTCTCCTGGCTTTTTATCTCTCTTGTATTTTTTCTCTTTCAAATGCCCAAAATGCAATCCAATTGCCATTGAAATCTGTGAATTTAGGAAATTGGCTTGTTATTGAGGGTTGGATGAAACCTTCTCTCTTTGATGGAATACCCAACAAAGATCTCTTGGTATAGTAGAACTATATCAAATTATCACAAATTACAAAACCCTTTTTCTTTTTCAACTTTTACTTTTCAAATTTGGTCTTAAGTTTTTGTGACTCTCCACTTGGGAACTTTGAAACATATACCAAACTTTTATTCTTTACCATCTTTAATTTTGTACTCAATTTTTTTTTTATTTTAATCCTTGGAAGGATGGAACTCAAGTGCAATTCAAGTCCGCGAAGCTGCAAAAGTATCTCTGCCCGGAAAATGGAGGTGGTACTGTTCTTGTCGCGAATCGCTCCTCTGCCTCTAGTTGGGAAACTTTTAGGGTATGTTCTTAATGTTTTTCTTTCAAGTTAGTCAATTAGTACCACATCACAAAAGTTATATGCATTTTTTGTCTTTTGGAGTCCTGACTTTTCTTTATATAATGCAGCTATGGAGGATCAATGAGTCGTCATTCAATTTCAGATCGTTTAACAAGCAGTTTGTGGGATTGGAGAATCAAGGACAAGGAAACACACTGGTAGCAGTTTCAAACGACCCCGGAAATTCAGAAAATTTTCAAATTGTAAGGAACGATGCTGATCCAAATCGAGTGCGAATCAGAGCAGCAAATGGTTTATTTCTACAGGTACAATTTCCATATTTGCTCAACAAGATTGTTAATGTACGAATTTCTCCAAGAATTTGGTGTACAATGTGTGCTCAATGACTGATGACTAGTGGCATAAGTGTCATAAATTCTGTATTTTTTTTTGTTTTTGGTTCAAATTAGACACAAACAGAAACACTAGTGACTGCAAATTACGAAGGCTCGACCTGGGACGATAATGATCCATCGGTTTTCGAGATGACGATAGTATCTACCATACGAGGGGAATACCAAATCTCAAATGGATATGACCCGGAAAGAGCTTCTCAGGTTTTGCAGGCAAGATTTCTTCCAGCATTTCTTTTTTTTTTTAGCAGAAACTATTATTTCTCTCTTTGGGTAAAAACAGAGATTTTCAATGTCACAATTAATGATTTAATTTGAGTACACATTACATATTACAGGATCATAGGAACACGTATATTACAGAAGAAGATTTCAGTTTCATGTCATCCAACGGTCTGAATGCTGTGAGGATTCCTATTGGTTGGTGGATAGCTTATGATCCAACGCCGCCAACGCCTTTTGTTGGGGGCTCCTTGCAGGCCTTGGACAATGCTTTCCAATGGGCACAGTAAGTATATATAATAGGTGTTAATAATACATATATATATATATTATTCAAGGTTTATATTGGTTAGTTATATTACAAGCACAAATTCATGTGACACTCCGCTTTTAGATTGTGTTCCCCCTGGAATCACTTTTACAATAATTTCTTAGTATAAACTTTGTTTGCAAAAGTAGCAACAGTATACAAGTTAAAAGGGAAAGGGAACTTTTAAGTCGGTTTAAGTCTCGTTAGGTGTTATTATTTTAACCGTCGAATTATATTTTTAACATGAAAAATTAGTTATGATACCATTAAAAACTTAATCCAATAATTTAAACAACAATTCATACCAGTAGTTAAAAGAGACATGTTTTAGGGCTCGTTTGGTTCGTTGATTCGAGTTTTTAACTCGAGTTGAGATGTGACTTTATGTGAAAACTTTTTACTGTAGTAAAAAAGTTAAATGTGACTGTTTTTTAGAGATTTTTACTGTAATGAAACTCGGATTCTAAATTCAAATCGGTGAAATGAACGGGGCCTTATTATATAAATTCCCTTACTTAAAATGACTAACAATTTTGAGAAGGGCAAAAACTGCATTTCAAAATTAGTTACTGGTGCATAAACTCGTGGACACCTAGAAGTGATTTTTATTCATTAAAAAGAAATTACAACAATCCCACAACTGACCCAAAGACCAAAGTCACAAAGAGCAAAACTTCTTGATTGACCTATATTACTTATATATATATATATATATATATGCATGCAGAATGTATAATGCTACAAAAAATTAAACTAAATTTGTGATTTCAATGCAGAAATCATGGGATGAAGGTAATAATTGATCTACATGCAGTACAAGGTTCGCAAAATGGAAACGAGCACAGTGCCACAAGAGATGGGTTTCAAGAATGGGGATCAGATTCCGACATTCAAGATACAGTAGCAGTCATAGACTTCCTAGCTGCAAGGTCCTTTTTACACCCAAAAAAAAAAAACACACCCTTTTTTACAAAAACTATATTTTAAAAGACATCTCCTCCTATCATTTTCTTACAACTCTAGAGCAGTTTAACAGTTTAAGTACGAATTCATGACTTTCATGACTTGGATTGATTTATTATTGTATTTTACGATTAATTTTGACAAATTAAAATAGGAGCTTTAGAGGACGTTTGAAAAGAGGATTCAGACCCTGATTTGAATTATAGTTCGTGGCTCATTACAGTATTTTTTTTTCATAATAAATACACATAAAACGAAAATAATTTTAATCAATGAACCAAACGTCTCCTTAGATGTTGAATATCTTATAAGCGGTGCATTTTTTTATAATTATATTTTGTCAAATCACATCAAAAAGCAAAACTTACAAAACTTGATTGAGATCCAATAACATCAAAAAATTGTTTTTATCTCCGTTGAAATAAAACCCCATTATTATATTTTACGTGAATAATAGGATTTTAATCTTATTAGAATAAATAGGAGGACTCTAAAAACATATTTAGTACGTATTTCTAATTAGTATTTTTTCATAGACAGCAAAAAGAATAAATAAATAATGTTTTTGAAGTTAATTCATATTAACATCTTGAATTATACATGGCATTTTTCTAGTTATCTTCATCTAGAAGGGAAAAAATAAGATTACATAATACTTTTTATTTTTTATTTACAAGCAGATATGCCAACAATCCAAGCCTGGCAGCAATAGGGTTGATGAACGAGCCCATGTCACCGGGGGTCACTCTAGAAACACTCATCAGATACTACCAAATGGGTTACAATACAGTGCGGAAGTACACATCGAATGCCTATGTGGTCCTGTCGAACCGCCTGGGACCCGCCAATTCAAAGGAGCTGTTGTCGTTTGCTGGAAGTCTGAGTAATGTTGTCGTTGAAGTTCATTACTACAACCTCTATTCGGAATCGTACAGGAGGATGGATGTACAACAAAACATTAACTTCATCTACCACCAGAGATCATCTGATCTAAGTGCTCTTTCCGTTCCCAATGGCCCACTTTCTTTTGTTGGTAAGTGATTCGGTAATTGTCACATAATTTGGTCATGACAATTAGGTGACATGTGGTTAATTAAAAGCGGAACTTATAATATCAAAGGAAAATTTTCTTGCCCAAATTTAAAAGTTAATGGATGCGTTTAGAATTGATTTTTGAAAATATTTTTGCGCATCTTTTGAGGCACAAAAATAAAAATAGTTTGCAAATCGTGTTGTTTAGCCGATGTTTTGAAAACGAAAATGAAAACAAAAAACAATAATGAGAATGATTTTTGTGAAGCAATTAGAAAACGGTTAAAAGTTGTTTTCTTTTTTTATTTTTATTTTTTAGTATTTATCAACAATGTTTAATTTACTAATTAAAAATTATAACCAAATACGATTTCACTTTTCTATTATACTCAAAACAATCTCTTAAAAAAAATAACCAAACATAATTTCAGAATCGATCTCAGAATAATTTTCAAAACAATCTCATTTTTATTTTTATATTGAAAACGAAATTATTTTGAAAACGACACCAAACGGGCTGAATGTTTTAATGAACACGACAAGGCATGCCCCGATTGTTATTCGGAAGTTTAGTTTGCTCCTATAAATTAGCTCATGCAACGTGTGTGGAGCTCTTCTGTCTAAATTTTAATACTTATCATTGATTTGATAGCACTTTATAACACTTTGTTAAACTTAGTGGATAATTTGTCAAAATTGAAAATGATGGGGATCCATTGCCAATAGAGAAAAGTGAAGGGGTAGATGTGTCAATATGTCTTTCTTTCTAATACATTCACATTGTCATTATTTATGGCTCTTTATTATTTTTTTTTTTGGAAATAAATGGAGCATGTAATTAGGTGTTAGCATTTTAAAGTTTAGGTTAAAAAATATTTAGGAATTTAAGAAAGGGAAATCTCGAGGAATACCCCGTCATTAGAAATGTATAAAGATTTATACTCTTTCTTAAACGCGATAAGAATACCATAAGAATGCTATAGTTCCAAGAGAATGTCTCAAAACTAAAGAAGTGAATAAAAAAGTTGGGAGTCTTTAATTTTCTATATAACAAGGAAAGTAGTTGAAACTTTATTCAACAAAGGGTCAACTTTTGACCAATTTAGAGTGGAATTACAAATTTTAGTTATAAGTGAGAACGAAATTTTTTTAAAACGTAATCTTAAAAAAAATAGGATAGAGAAATTAAATTTTAAGGTCTCGTTCATTTCACCGATTCAAGTTTTTAATTTTAAATTTTTACAGTTAAAAGCTCTCAGAAAATGCCACATCTAATTTTTTTTGATACAGTTAAAAATTTTAAAAAAATATCACATTTCAACTCGAATTGAAAACTCAAATCTATTAAGCGAATGAGGCCTAAATCTTGATATTAAAAGCGTAGATGTGAATTTATCATTAAATTATGCTTGCAACAACCTACATGATTGAAATTTTCACAAAAGTTACATACGAACTTTATCTAATCTGTCCCTCATTTATGCTCTCTAATAACTCCTATCAGCTAATCCTTCTTCTACAAGATTTGTTAAGCAAACAAGTGTTAGTCGTAAGTTGATGCCTTAATGGGAAAATTTTGTAGGGGAATGGAGTGGAGAATTTGGGACACCAGTTAAGTCAAAGGAAGACTACCAAAGGTTTGCTGAAGCCCAATTAGATGTCTATGGACGTGCCACTTTTGGATGGGCCTTTTGGGCTTACAAGTGTGACGCCAACCTCTGGAGCCTCAAGTGGATGATTGAGAACAATTACATAACGCTCTAGATTTGAATTTGAGAAATTTTGAGGAATGCCACGAAAATCATGATCCTCTGGATTAATGCCATAGACATTGAAGTGTTGGTTTTGTGTTAGACTAGTCAAAGGTCTAACGACAAAGAAGTTGTGGCATGCCACCTAATTTTCTTTTTAAAACTCAATGCTCGTTTTCTAGTTTTCTCATTTACATATGACTTTTACAATGAATAACATTAGAGTTCAGAATGGCCCTATTCGTTTCACTTTCACATGTCTTGAAGATGTAATGCCATTTTCTTCAGGGAATAAGCAAACGAAAGCTTTTCGGCATTTGCCCTTCTAAGAATATTATTGTTTTATCAATGAGATAATACTGCTTTTATAAAAGCTTATATTGATTCTCCCAGTGACGGAGCCAGTATTTCACTTTATTAGAAGCGTACACTAATTTTTTTTAACAAATTATCTTAATAGGGACATATAAGAAAATATATTTATTTTAGTGATGATATATATTATTTTAGTGGAGATTTAAGTGTAAAATTTTAAAATTTTTAAAGGTAATATTTAAAAAAAAAAAAAAACTTGAATGAGGGCGTCTGTCCCCACTCATCTTCAAGTGGCTCCGCCACTGGATTCTCCTGTATTAATTAAATGCTTCAACTATTTTTGAACACCTTGTATCATGATCAAGATTTTAGGTGCAGTCATATTGATCCTCCTGTATTAATTAAGTGCTTTAACTATTTTTGAACACCTCGTATCATGATCAAGATTTTATATATGATTTTATTTATATCACGTGCCTAATATTGGTCTATAACGCGACCAAATTAAGAACTTAAGTCGGTTATCCTATTCATGTGGAAAGGTGTTTTGGAAATAGCCATAAATTTCACTTTCGAATTTTGATTAATATTATTCGTGAAAAAAGCATAAATAGATACATAGACATAAACAATATAATATGACGCTGTCAATAAATGATAACAGTAACAATTTTAATTGTTGGACTCTGTCTGTGACTGTGACTACTATATGAGCCAAATATGTAAGAAGACTAGAAAAAGTATAAATAAAAAACAATATAATTTTATTATTATGAATAATCTCGGGATCTTTATATATTAAGCGAATCATAATTAATATCCCTCTTTGATGACCAAAAGAAGTAAAGAACCGCGGGCGAGTGCAGAGAATTCGTGGACGACAGCTTTACTAAAACCCCTGCATGGTAAAGGAAGAGAAAGACTACCACATACCTTCATTGTCGATCAATTGCACACCTTTTTTTTTTTTTTTTTTTAATTTTATCTTTCCCTTGCTTTTCTTCTTCTTCTAAGACTTCCCTGTTATCCTAACCAAAGTTGGAGAATATATATTTTTTTATATAATTAAGATGGAGAACACTTTAATTTAACTTAAGTTATACTACTAAAAAAAAAAGAAGAAGAAAAAGAAAAGAATGAAAAGAGAGAAAAAGCACTCCTAAGTTATAAAACTATTTTTCTCTTCCTTTTGTTAAGAAAGTATTCATTTCACATTTGTAATTTATACTTTTTTTATGTCCATTGGATCGAGTTACATATTGTTGGTTAATCCACATAATCGTCTAGCATGATATGAGACGGGCACGCTTTTAGCACAACGCTATTCTTTAAGCATGAGGGCCACCACGATGAGCATGATACTTAGATTTACAAAAATTATTAGGTTTAGAGTCCATAATTCACCTGCATAATCTGCCCATTTTCCATCTCTTTTAAATCAATATGTAAAGAGAGAAAATGAAAGCAAAAATCTTTTAATATTTAAGAAAGGTTGTAAATTTTAATGTTTTCTCACTGGAGGGGCTTTTCTACGGATTTCTCATTGTTTACTTGCATGTCAACATTTTGTAGGTTTTATGATGTCTAAAAGCAAAAATACATAGATTACATACACATCCAAGACATCCACTTGTTTCATTGGGTGCTATCCCGACTCACTCTCATCATTTGCAGAAGAAATTTTAAAATCTACTAATGTAATGAAAATGCCTTGGACCAACTATAATCGAAGGATGTAACAAATTTTAGGGTCAGTTTAATAGTATTGTAGATTTTAGAAAAACAACTGTTAGCTGTGTTGAAAAAAAATAACTGTTTCAAAAAGCAAGTGAGTGTTTAGTAAATTGTAATTATACAAGTATAAATTCTAGGGATATTATGAAAAAAAAAAGCTGTTACAAAAAACAGCTGAGTGTTTTGTAAACTGTAATTATACAAATATTGATTCTAAGGGTATTATGAATATTATGAAAGTTTTATTAATAGTACTTTAAGATGATTGCCGCACAATCTAAAAGTCAAAGTTACCATTTGGTTGCTTTTGATTTTGACTGTAAATTCTTTAAGAATTACTTTTTATAATTTTTACCAAACATAAATTTCAACTGTAGATAACTAAAAAATTAATTTTGGACTTTAAGAATCACTACTAAACATACCCTTACTGTAAGACATACTAGTCAAAATGCAAACTTGTAGACATTCTAGAAAGAAAACAACACTCTCATTAAACTTTATATATATATATATATATATATATATAATTAATGGCATCGTTCATTTCACTGATTCGAGCTTTTAGTTTTAGGTTTCTACAGTAAAAAGCTCTCAGAAAATATTACATCTAACTTTTTCTGCTAGAGTGAAAAGCTCTCAGAAAATGTCACATCTCAACTCGAATTGAAAATTCGAATCTGTGAAGTGAACGGAGCCAATATATATGTAGCATTGCAATTTTGGTTCCTACAAGCAAGAAATATGCCAAGTACCTCCTTATTTAAAAATTAGAATTATTTTTTAGTGTTTTTTATACTTTTGAGAATATAGGTGTTTCTTAGAGCACGTTTGGTATAAGGGATCTAGAACCTAGAACCATGATTCTGGTTCAAACTATTGTTTGTTTATAAAAAGTGGTTCTGATTTGAACCTATAATCAGTGTTTGGTTTAGATGGTTCTGATTTAAGGTTTGAACCCTAATGTGATGTTTTAAACCATAATCACCCTTGATTCTAAAACCACTTCCCTCTTGATTTTAGATGGTTCAAACCCCTGATTCTGATTCTGGTTTCAGAATTATGATTTAGATCCAAAATCATACATTATAATTCTGATTTCAAAATCAAAACTAGAATCACTTTAATTTAAATTCTCATACCAAATGAAGTCTTATTTAGTAGTCGTCGCATTTGTGTTATTTTTTTAAGAGAGAAAGAGGAAAATAGGCCAAGACTTGAGATAAATTAAAATTAATAGGCCAATAGTTTACATAAGTTAATAAATAGGTCAAATTACTGTTTTCGTCCATAACTTGTCTGGTTATGAACCATAACTTGACAAGTTATTGTCTATAATTGTCCATAACTTGTCTGGCTATGAACCATAACTTGACAAGTTTGTCCATAACTTATCTGGTTATGAACCATAACTTGACAAGTTATGGCCTATTAATTTCTATAACTAAAAATTGGCCTATATACTTTCTTAAGCTTTTCATATTGGCCTATTTTCTACTATTTCCCTTTTTTTAATTTAATTTAATTTTTAGTCAGATTTAATATAAATTTAACAGCTAATAAATAATGAATACCAGTATTATTAAAAAAGATAAAACACCAAAAAAAGTTCCTTAAAAATTTAAATAACCAAAATAATATAAGGGAAATAGTAGAAAATAGGCCAATATGAAAAGCTTAAGAAAGTATATAGGCCAATTTTTAGTTATAGAAATTAATAGGCCATAATTTGTTAAGTTATGGTTCATAACCAGATAAGTTAGGGACAAACTTGTCAAGTTATGGTTCATAGCCAGACAAGTTATGGACAATTATGGATAATAACTTGTCAAGTTATGATTCATAACCAGACAAGTTATGGACGAAAATAATAATTTGACTTATTTATTTACTTATGTAAACTATTAACCTATTAATTTTAATTTATCTCAAATCTTGGCCTATTTTTCTCTTTCTTCCATAATATAATATGGCAATGCATTGCAGACAAGGAGAGAGGAGAGGATGGTAGGGACTAGAGCTGGAACTTTGGACGGGCCGCCCGCGACCGCCCAAAAAGCCCAAGTTTTTGCCCGAGCCCGAGCTGCCCGAGAAATTTGGGTCGCCCGCCCGAGCTCGAATTTCACCTTGAACGGGCCACGGGCTTGTATTAGGCGGCCCGAGCCCGGCCGGGCGGCCCGAGCCCGCCCGAATTGCCCGAATTATTTAAACTTTTTTTTTAATATTAAGTTATTTTGTGTTAAAATTTATATATATATATATATATATTACAATTTGAAATTTGAAATGAACACACGAACTATATAAAAAAATTCTTTCTTTATTAATTTTTAAATTTATAATTCATGATTACTTCATTAAAAACTTTACCAAGAAAAACCTAATTGGGATAAAAACTTGGCAAGGAAAAAAGAGTGCAATCATATTGTGACGAATTACAAATTTTACAAACTTACAAAGTTATACAATTACAAATACAATGTCAAAGGTAAATACATATTTACAAATTACAAATTTACAATTTAATTTAAAGCTAAAGGATCGTCTTCAAAATTAAATGTTAATCGATTAAATTCATCGATCCATTATTGGCTTGCCGGTGAAATTGTATCTTGTAAATGTTGATCGGCCTGATCCCAATCCTTAATGCAAACCAAGGCTTCAATCAACATTGAGTGACTGGTCTTTTAAAATAGAGATCATCAAATAGCGATGAAGTTATTAAACCAAACCAATCATTGAGTGACTTTTGATAAATTATCAATTTACTTTGGTATGCAAGTAGAAAGTTACTTTGATATAGAGTCACAAAGAGAGTGAAGAAAGTTGAAGAAAAAAGAAGATAATTAAGAGGATGAGGAGAGATTGTGAACAGAAAAATAGATAAAGATAGAAAGAAGAGTGATATAGAATAGAAAAATACGAGTATCTATAAGAACAAAACCGGTATTATATAGAAACAACACTTTTTAAAAATAAAGAACAATAAAAACGTGATGGCAATGTGTTTCTTTCCTTGTGTATATTGTTTTTTGAGGAATCATTTTATCATGTGATTGATTATAAAAAAGGGTCAAGAATGTGAAAACTGAAATATTAAACTGCTAAAATAGGAATTTGCTCTTTCTATTAAGGAATTGTGTGTTTACCTTAATTAAAAAGTTAAAAATTTAAATAACAAATATGAGCATTGGGTCTAGTGGTATGATTCTTGCTTTAGGTGTGAGAGGTCCCGAGTTCGATTCTCGGAATGTCCCAATTTGTAGCAACTAAAATTTTCAGGCGGTTTTGGGCAAATCGGGCAAGTCGGGCTTCGGACAAAATTCGGGTTTTCGGGCTTATTTTCGGGTCGGGCAATTCGGGTGGGTCGGACATGGTCGGAAAATTCAAAAAAATTTCGACGGACGGCGATATAGGACGGTTAGACGGCGGCGGGCAAGAGAATTAGTGTCAAATTCAGACTGCCTGAGCCCAAACTCAAAAATCTAACTTGGACGGACGGGAGATGGGCTTGCCCGCCCGAGCCCAAAAAAATTCGGGCTTCGGCGGTCGAACTTCCAACACTGGTAGGGACTCGGAGAAACCAATGCAGCAGTGGGCCCACTCATTGCCACGTAGACTCCAATCACCCCCCTATTTTCACCATATATAAATGAAAAACAATTCTTTGGGAGAGTGAGTAAAGAGTAGCTCAACGACAACAAGTTTTGTAATCCCCTTTCTCTCTCCTATTATTTCTCTCTCTAACTCTCACACAGCGAGCGAGCTTCAACCCCACTCGTTAATGGCTGCCACCTCCAACTCCCTCCTCTCTCTCAACCCCTCCCCACAACAACCAACAAAAATGGCGTTCCTCCATTCTCACAGATCCATTTCCTTCCCCAGATCTCCTTTCTCCGCTTCCAAATTCCGCCACGGCTCCAATCTCGCTGTCTCCTGTTCTTTCAACGAATCCGACAGCGGACGTCCAGAGATTCCCATCGAAAAGCGTAAGTATAAACTATCTCTTCACATTTCATTTCGACGACGCAAAAATTGGTCTAATCTCCTCTAATGCCCCGTCATTTCTTGTCGTTTTTCCAGAATTCCCGGCGTTTCCGACGGTTTTGGACATTAACCAAATACGAGAAATCTTGCCTCACAGGTACGTCTTTTCAATTTTATTTTATTTTATTTTTGTTTGTTAAAATGCGTCGTGATTATTTTTGTGTGATTTTTTTGTTTTTTTTTTTTTTTGTAGGTTTCCGTTTCTTTTAGTGGATAGAGTGATTGAGTACAATCCTGGGGTTTCAGCAGTTGGAATTAAGAATGTGACAATAAATGATAATTTCTTTCCTGGGCATTTTCCCGAGAGGCCTATTATGCCTGGTGTTCTTATGGTTGAGGTACTAATACTGCTTATTCTATTCTTACTTGTCAGTTTAATAATATGCTTGTCTTTTTTTTTTTTTTTTTCTAATGCATTTGGGTTATTTATATTATAATATATCTGGCTGTTAAGTAAAATATAGAATTTTGTTAGTTTAAACCTACTAGTGTCAATATCAATGTGACAATCGCTGAGCAGTTAATCTCAAATTTGCAAATGCTAATATGCTAATATGTTTAGGTCTATATGGAAATTTTCAATGTAGACCATTGTGGATGTGCTCTTTCTGCAATTAAAATTTGGTTTTCAGTTTTAGGAGTTAAAGACATTCCCGGGACAAGAAAAGTTCAAAATGGTTCTCTTTGGTGATTAGTTTAAAATGGAAACTTGATGAAGTTTTCTTTTCTTTTCTTTTTTTTATGGAAACTTGATGAGGTTATACTAAGGATGATGCTCCTTAGATGTTTGGGTGTCAAACAAGAAAATGCCAACAAAATATTGGGTTTGGTTGGTATTACGATAGGGATGGGCAGAAATTGATCAAAAGTCGAATTTGAAGAAATTGTTATCATGTGAAATGGTTTTGTTTTGTTTTTCTTTTTTTCCCCCGTAAGGAACGATGTTCTGAAGGTTTGGGAAAGAATTTTTGTGCCGTCATGCTTTAGATTAATGTGAATGAATGCCTGCAATATTTAGGTTATATGAAGGAATGCAGCTTGAGGTTGTTACTAGTGTCATAATAATTGACCCAGTCCCTTGGATTATTGGTCCAACTAAACTTTAGGATGAGTTTGTTTCTACTAGGATGAGGTTGGCTTCATGTTTGGTCCTAAGTACACAACAATGGTAACTGATCCTATTCCATTTCTATGTTAATAGAACTTTTAGTCAATTAACTATAGCATAGCTACTGTTGGCACTCTCTATATTTCAACCATTGGGCACTCAGACTCTGTCGAAGCTACATATGCTGATGTGCTAATCTATCTCTCAAAATTATTTGACTTTTGTTGAGGTTCTTATGTCGATATCAATGCTGATTTTTTGGTTATGCTTTTCCGTACTAAAACTTCATTTTTTATAGTTATATTAGGCCATGGGTCAGGCTAAAAATGGGAGCTCGGTGGGTGTTGTTGCTGAGCATTACGGAGGATATTAGTGGGATTAGGAATCTGGGAGTATGAGAAGTACGAGTAGGAAATACATCAAAATTAGAATCTGAATGGAATGTTTTTATTTTAAATGAGACCATAGGAACATCTGTCTTGAATAGTTGTTGCAAGTACATTTGACACTCAAGGGGTTACAAGGGCAAGAGAGAGTTTGGTCAAAGGTGTTTAGTTCATTCTATGGGAGGAGTAGGATTAAGGAAGACCTTCATAATTGTTTCTCATAGTCTCATTGTAAAAGTTTTTTTTTTTTTTAATGGATCTAATTATCCGGGAAGTCTTTCTTTCCTTATGCTCTATGTAACTATATGAATCCCTGCAATATTTTGGGTTACATGGATTCATTTAATTTTAGGTCCTTACTAGCATTGGAATAACTGGCCCAATCTACTTCTGAATAAGTAAACTTTAGAATGAGATCATCTAGGATCCTTGCAAAGCTCTGGTTTCTAACTAATTATTATAGTTGTCATTTATAGATATATTGATGCCCATATACAATACACGTAAGGTTTGATTTGCTTGTTAGTTTTAATTCAAATACAATATCAATGGAAAAATTAATCCTATTCCATTACCATTTTATTAGAACTTTTACTTAAAGGTGGCATTTAATCATGCCTTCAGCTCATTTGGGTGCTAGGTCATGCACTTCGGATACTATATAGTTGCCTTGTCAAAAAAGGGGAAAGAGAAACTATGTTGTCATTAGGATAGCTGTAGGTTTCCGAGGATATCAATCCGACAGTCTGAGCCCCTGTTTTACACATTTAATGCTGCTTAAAGTGGTTCCTAGGTTTTTGTCATAATTAGCTGAATTCTGATTGCATCTTTTAGATCTTGGAGATCTTTGTTCTGAAACTATAATTTGTTATGAGGTTTTTATGTATGATCTCCTGCACTCTCCTTTCATGCATGATGTACCTCACTTGTTGTCTAAACACCATTAGTTCCCCATTTTGCTAATTTGGATGGGAAACATTTGTTCATAGAATTTAGCGTTGGTTTTTTTTGTTTTTTGTTTAGCTGCTAAACTCATGTCTCATAGTGCGTATTTCCTTCAAATCTATAAATTTTCCGAAGAACGCTATTTCCTTCAAGACTACATTGTTTAGTGCCCATGTGATTTTCATTCAAAGTGTTTATGAGATGGTTGCTTGGTCCAGGCAATGGCACAGGTTGGAGGCTTGGTTATGCTGCAACCTGAAGTTGGAGGCTCTCGCGAGAATTTCTTCTTTGCTGGAATCGACAAAGTGAGATTTCGAAAGCCTGTGATTGCAGGAGACACTTTGGTTATGAGAATGACACTCGTGAAGTTACAAAAGCGGTTTGGAATAGCTAAGATGGAGGGAAAAGCATATGTTGGAGGAGAGGTAGTTTGTGAGGGTGAATTCTTGATGGCTACTGGAAGTGAGTGAAGAGCTTATTATATTTATCTCATCTTTGTATGTGTTTCTTTCCTTTCCTTTCCCTCCTTTTTTTCCTTTTATATTGTCAATTTTATTTTGAGATTGACATGACTAGTTTAGTGATTTTGAAGGAGGTGGGTTTTGTGTTGAGGAATTTACATGACGGAATTTGTAATTTAGAGAGATCAATGCTGGAATTCACACCTTAAGCAATTTGCCAACCTTTTATTATTCATAGTGACCCATCTGGTCTCTATTTTTTTTTTTATTTAAATATAAATATTTCAGCAACACTTCCCTCTTTGTCTGTTCTTTTGAGATATGCTCTGTTTAAGGCAGTTCATAGAATTGCAAAACTTAAGGACCGTTTGACATTTCTTTTGCCATGCTTTTCGACGTTAGAAGAGGAGAAATAAAAGTTTTGATTTCGATTAGCATTTGGAATCACATTTTTGGAAGTGTTTCATGGGAAAAAAGATCACAAAAAATGATTTAGTTTTCTATTAAGCAATAAAAATGATTTAGTATTCTATAGGGCCAAAACTCCTTTAAAAACAATCTGAGCACTCACTGGAAGCCAAAATCAGCTTTTGAAGAACAAGTAGTTTTTAAGAAACCTGTTTTAAAAGCTGTTTACATTTTGATAATATATAATTAGTATCTATTTCTTTTGTAAAAATTTGTTGTATGTTTCTAATCTTATTTTATTATTATAGGTTGCAATCTTTATACTTCCCTTATTGGATCATTATACATGTGATTTTAGACAGTTTTTATTTTATTTTTTTACAATAATTTTAGACAGTTTTATAATAAAATGAAATTATAGACAATTTATAAAGTAATCACTAGTATTAGGATTTTATGTTATTATTCTAGAAAACGATGGCAAACACGGTGTCTAGCTCTAGAGAGTCCAGGAAAATTGGTGGCAATGATTGCTAATGCATTTAATTGGGTTTGAACTTGTTCTTGAGTTTTGAACTCTTTAAACATGTGGTCCTAACTAATTGGAGTTGGGCTATTAGCGTTCAAACGTTGGGACTCTTTCAGGATGTTCCGTAGAAAAATGCACAAAAAATGCCTCAAATTTCACGAGAAAACGATGTACTATTGGCCTTAATCAATAATTTCCAACCACTTGCGAAATAAGTGAGGAATATAATAATAAATTGGACAAATTTGTACACTTCATGACTTGAGATATGAAAGGGAGATGATTGCGCCTTTCAAGTTGATTTGTATTATGGCGGTGGAAGTGATATTACACCATAGTTTGTTTTTAATATCAACTCTATGACCATTATATATATATATATATGTATATATATATCAACTATGACCATCAAAACTGTGATGTGATATGAATACTGGTAGAACTATTTTTTTTAAATCACAACTGACTCATTAGACCTAAAATCATCTGATTATCTGATCTTCAGGGGATTCTTATGACCATTTTCTCCTCAAGGCTATACCCCATAACTGATTTGAAAACCACATATTATTCTACTCCAGTAGTTGAATCTAGAACTGATTGGAAAACCATATATTATTCCACTCCAGTAGTTGAATTTAGAACTTCTTTAATTTCTGAGGTTCAATTCATCCTATCCAAATCATGTATGAGCAACTTCACTGTAGAACAGACCAATTATGTGACTAAGACACTATTTTAGGTAAGAAGCGCCTACTAATGACATTGAGAGGTCGTGTTGCTAATTGTTGATTTTTTGTCAAATTAAATCAATTAAAAAATATGCCGCATTTTGTCGGAATAAAATTAATCAAAAATATATATATATATATATTTTTTTTTTTTCCTTTGCGGAAAAATTAAATACAAGTTTAACTCTTTGGTTGGTTCCTGATAAATTATTTCAAGCAGTCGTATTTTTAGTGTCTAATTTTTAATGGTTTGTTCGTTTCCATCTAAATTTTTAAAAAAAAAAAAAAATTTGAACTCAAGTTACAATTTTATTTGAGTTCATATTCTTTTGTAAAATGTGAGTTTGAACTTGAGTTTTAATTTGAATTTTAACTTGAGTTTGGGGTTAAAATCTGAGTTCAAGTTTCTCCTTCAACTCAAGTTTTTAAACTCAAACTCAAGTTAATGAACAATATTTTTTCTATTCTTAAAAACGCTATAATTTTTTCGTTTTAATTCCGATTGAGATGATTCTTTTTTTATGCGTTCACAATGAAGAGATAAATAAAACCTCACTCATATATCCTAAAATTTTTCATCATCATTGAGTTTTTATTAAAATACTATCTAAATACAAACTCAAGTTTTGACTCACACAAACACAAACTCAAAAAGATTCTCATCTCAAATCATAACTCAAATGTACACAACAAAACACAAACTCAAGTTATAACTCAAATTTAACTTAAAATATATACTGAACTCATCATAATTTAAAAATACAATCGAAGAAGTCCTAAGTGAATAGAAATGATCCTGAAATGTTCAAAAAGTTGTAACGTCAGTCCCCAAAACTGTTTTCAATCATTTAAAAAAAAAAAAACAACAATAATGGCATGTTATTACTTATTAGGTCCAAAACTTTCAAACTCGTACTTCAATCTTTTTTTTTTTTTTTTTGGGTACAATTACTCTCTAACATGAGACATTTTTCTTTGTTCAAGTAGTTAACACAACTCTGGTCGGAATTAAAGACTTATTTAGTTTATTGATTTGAATTTTTAATTTGAGTTAAAATGTGAATTTATGTGAAAATTTTTTACTATAGTAAAAAAATTAGATGTAATTGTTTATGAGAATTTTTTATTATAACAAAATTTAAATTTTAAACCCAAATCGATAAAATGAACAGATGCTTAATCTAACTAGAACCTTTTGATAGTTTAAAAAGCAATATAAACCGCGTGTTTTGGGATAGTTTAAAAATCAATTACCATAACTATAAAAATCTGGCAAATCAGAAACACATACCAATAGTATCGCAGATCCTTTTTATGAAGTTCTCTCTTTATTATATCATCATGTCCTTCCGTGCTTTGAAGTTTTTAATTGCGTGCACCGTCCACAGTCCACACGTCAATCAACAATCGTTGACACTACCAGCCACCCCAAATTAAAAAAAAAATCATATATTTTTAAAATAGTTATTTAAAATTGACAATCTTTAACGAGTATAAAAAAAAAAAAGCGGACCCTAGTGTCAAAGAGATTTTCGTACTATGACAGCGTTAGGAGAAAGTTTAATTTTATATGTATGCGGTCTTATTTTTCAAAGAAGAGGCCGTTTCTGAGATTCGAACCTTGAACCCCGGTGCAAACGCAAACGCTCCTACCACGGTGCCAAGGCCATGTATACTTTCATCATTATACATCTCCACAATAATTTTATATACAGTTTATCAAACACCTAAATTTTTACTTCTTGTATCTACAGCGGTTTTAAAAAAATATTTACCAAACACCTGTATATTTCTGGTCACAGTAACTTATTACTAACAACACAATAATAGACTAAATTTTTAACAGCACAATAATACTAAACTGGCCCTTATACTTATATGGATATATAAGAGTGGTCAAAACTTTCACGAGAGAATTGATTTTTTCTCAATGCTAGCTTTCTCTCATATCTCAACTAGTCATTTTTTTGGTCGTACAATGATAAAATTAATCAATTTTTACCGTCAAAAGTTTGAGTTGCTTTTATCATTAGCGCCTAACAATAAATTTTAACCGTTCTAATAATTTTTATTATTATTATATAAAGCATGAAAAAGCGTTGTACGGTACAACCAATCAGGGACAAGCCCTTCTCTTCTTTGTTCAAAGTGTCGTGAGCAAAGCATTAGAAGATATTGGGATCTATCAATGGCTATGGTGACATGGAGAGTCATGTCTTGTTATCTCTCTGGCTGCCAATTATGCGCCTTATGAGTGCATGTAGTATGCACAAAATATGTGAGTGGACGCAATGGTATGAGGAAAATGGTGTCCTTTATGTAGCCATCATAGGAGCCTTGTTTATCTCACCTTTTGAGTTGGTAGGAAACATCAATTATTGCTCCTCCATAAACTTAATATCTTGCCCTACAACCACACATTTTGTGCGAGCATTTTTTCAAGTGTGTGTTGGCATCTCCTGATTTGTTTTTGTTTTTTTTTTTTGGACCCTCCACTATTTCAGGTTTTGGACACTATTTTTTCTTATTTTGTGAAAGACATGCATGAGCTTCAATCTACATCATGCGCTTTGGTGTAAAGTCGTTTTAACTTGAATATTGGTGCTAGTGAGCTTTGTACTAGCAGATTGTACAAAATGGAAAAGAAAAAGGAGAGAGACTTTTTATAACAAAGATCAAATATTTATTTTTAGGGAGATTTTCTAGTACGTCTGATGTATTGATAGGTTAAGTTTTTTAACTGTTGAATCTGTGTATTTTTTGACTTTTATGTGATTTTATACAGATCTAACAGATAAAATACCGATATATTAGGGTACTATAAAAAAATAATAGAAATATCTAACAACTGTATTCACAACCAAATGGAAGAAATAATATTTCTTTTCAGATTTTTTTGATATACCATTTCGAATGACATGGTGTCAATGGTGAATACAAATTTTTAATATATTAAATGTCGTATCAATTTTTTTTTAATAAAAGCTAACAGTAAAAGAATGTCAACTAACATACAACATAAATAGGTATTACAAAATTGTTTAACAGAAAATGATGACACTTAAAATGTTTTAGAAATATCGAATAACAATTTGTACAAATATAAACCCGATAAGTACGAAAAGATGACATTATTAAATTTGAAATATATGCTCGTAGAATATTAATCGTTTTGAGGGAAAAAAATAAATACAAAGGTAAATTAATATTGATTTGTGGAATTTTCTTCCCTCTCTCTCCAACTTCTAATGATTCAATAGGTGGCTAACTTTCTTGATATTAGTTTCTAGAGGATGAATTATCTTAATGACTGCTTTGGTCGCACTGGGGTTTATAAGGACCAGCTCTTTACAAAGTATGATTTGATACAAAGTATGATTTGATTGAAAGCACCAAGCATTTTATCTCTTTTAATTCCTGTCCATTGGATGGAACTTCTTGATTTATTAATTTGTTGGTGTAGATTTACTAATACTCACACACAAGTGCTAAAGATGGTGCTTTGAGAATGTTTAGTTAATTTTATAGTAGGAGCAGACATAGATGGTAGAAAGTTGATCATTTAAAAGTTTTTAGTAGATTTGAACTTAAAAAGGATCTACCACTTGTAAATGTGATT